AACCCAGATTTGCACGAGGTTTCTAGGAATCAAACTCAGGTTCTCATGCTTCTGTGCAAATGCTTTAGTGACTGGACCACCTTCCAGCCTCCATACAGCGAACAAATACTAAGTAATTCATATAGATAGTTCCCCTTCAAGGAAATGGAACAAAACGCCACTCTTAGGGATAGCTTTGCATCAAGTTCTGTCCAAAGAGTACAGTAAAGAAAGGAGAAACTAGAGGATCTTGATAGCTGGGAAACCTTACATACTCTACCCCAGCCAGGCATCGAGGCCAAGAATAGTGTAAGTCATTCTGATGGGACAGCATCCTTGATCTGATGTGATGAAAACAGCCTATATCATCAGTGCCCTTCCTCACTAACATCCATCCTGAGAAAACAGCAGTAAATTCCAGAATGCCTGGCAGTGGTACTCCAAAACGCTGACACATGAACACATGAACATACAAGCAAAGCTAAATGGACTGAATAGTTAGTTATGTAGCAGACGTGTGTGTGTGTGTGTGTGTGTGTGTGTGTGTGTGTGTGTGGGTGTGTGTTTTTGATCATGAATTGGTGGTTGGCGGGCAAGAGAGGAGTTTAAAGGAAAGAGGGGAAGGCAAAAGTGATGTGGATACAGTGCTCATGTTTGAAGTTGTCAGAAAAATTAACAAAATTACTAGCCTCCCCCCCCAAAATGACTGTTTTTAAAAAAGGAAGTCATGAAATGCTGACAGCCAAGAGGAGCCCAAGGAGACACCATATCTAGGGGCAACAGGGAATCTTGGATGGGACCCTGAACAGGAAAAGTTTTTGGTAAAGAGCGAAGAAAGGCTAATAAAGCAGGGCTCTAGTAAACAGTAGCGGAGCAATGCCAGTTCGTAACTACAGCAAACATATACTGTGCTCACGTAAGATGTTAAAACAGGGGAAATAGAGTGCAGGGCAAACAGGGACTTTAAATTATCTCTCTAAGTTCTCTATAAATATGAAACTGTTCTACACATCACATATATGCATGGCATTCTCAAACAATCAATAAAAACAAAATATCTTTCTTGAAGTGTAGGGAGCTGGAGAGGTGGTTCCAGTTAAGAGCACTTGCTGTTTTTCCAGAGGACCTGAGTTTGGTACCCAGCACCCATACCAGGTGGCTCACAAACAGCTATAACTCCAGCTCCAGGGGATCCAATGCCATCTTTTGACCTCTGTGGTCACCAGCATTCATGTGCACATACACACAGACACATAATTAAAAATAAAGCTTTAAAATAAAATAGAATGAAATGCGTTCATGATTCAGCCTCATCTGTAACCCACCACCATGGCTGAGGGAGGCATTGCTGCTGGAGGTGTTATGGGTATCAATGTTGCTCTATAGGAGGTGATGGAGACCAGCCACGATGGCCTAGCACATAGCATACAGGAAGCTGCCAAAGCCCTAGACAATCACCAAGCCCATCTTTGTGTGCTCCCATCCAATTGTGATGAGCGGGTATATGTCAAGTTGGTGGAGGCACCTTGTGCTGAGCACAAAATCAACATGACTAAGACTGATGACAACAAGAAACTAGGGAAATGGGTAGGCCTCTGTATAACAGATCAAGAGAGGAAGCCGTGAGAAGTGATTGGTTGTAGCTGTGGAATGGTTAAGGACTATGACAAGGAAACCCAGGCCAAGGATGGCATTGAAGAGCACTTCAAGTGCAAGAAACGAATAAATAAAAATTTTGCTTCATTTATAAACAAACCAAAATTCAATGAAAGGTGAAAAAATGTTCTAAAAATAAAGTTTACATAAAAAAATAATATATGAGCCCAGGTGGTGGTGGCATACACCTTTAATCCCAGCACTCAAGAGGCAGAGGCAGGCGGATCTCTATGAGTTCGAGGCCAGCCTGGTCTACAGAGTGAGTTCCAGCACAGCCAGGACTGTTACACAGAGAAACCCTATTTCAGAAAAAAACAAAACAAAACAAACAAACAAACAAAAAAACTGGCTGAATGTTGATATAGGTCTCCTAGTTTCCACAACATCTAAATGAGAACATAGAAGTTGTCTCTAAAACTGAATCTAGAATCTGAGTTTTTTTTTTTTTTTTTTTTTTTTTTTTTTTTTTTTTTTTTT